CGGTAAATCCAACATGATTCCAATTTTTGCTCCCCTTAACTCCTCATCAAGTCAAACCTTGTGGAGCTGTAAAGAATACTACAACTTCAAGGTTTCAAGTCTATCAAGTAGGAGGTCACTGCAGTCATGCGATTACAGTAGTGGGCAGTGACTGTAAGCTCCGACTCAAATGGCTTGGCAGCAGGAAGGCGGGACTTTGTGACCTAATTAAGCTAGGTAATGATCAGAGAGCACGTGCACGGGAGGGACGCAAACTGTGTCGAAGGAGCGAGCGGTGGATACAGTGTCTCCACTCACGAGCCAATCGTGCTCTAGAGGGCAGGTTCGTAGTCCGCCAAATAGCGCTTTTCACCTTTGGAGAAGCGGGTTATTAATATCTTTCGAAGCTGCAATGCACAGTCTTGAACTTAGCTCATCCAGAACCGAAAATGTTGAATATCCCAAAGTTGCCATTCTGTCAAGCCGCAACCTTTAACAACGTCACAAAGCCGCTTCCTATAACAACGCCTTCCAGCCGCCAGATTAGTTGAATCAAAGGTTACAATGGATGAATGTTTCCTGTGTAACCTGCTTAATCAACATAAGTACGACTTTTATGAAGGGAGAAGCGCAAAAATTCTTGGAGTACAACAGCGATTTACAGTCAGTCAAAGGCGTACAAACTCACAGCCAGATGCAGAAAACTTGGCAAGTCGCGTAGGGGGCCTAGACTCTTTTTATTATACGACAGATAAACAGATACTTGTATCATGTGAGATCGATAATAAAACAATGATTTATGAACAATATATTTCAAGTTAACATCTCCTTTAAAAAAGATTTCTGCAGTCTATTATAGTACTGTGGGAAAAGGTACTATTATATTATTCAATATTTGTCATCATTCTATAATAAAGAATGGCAAGGGTTTGCACTTACATGTTGACAAGTTGCGGAATGAGACGAGTGATTGCCGAGGGTGCGGAGGGTAGAAATTTGTCAACAAGGCTAGCGCATTTTCGTAGGGGTAGGCATCGTCGCTCGTGGAAACTGTTTTCGACAGGGGTGCGGCGACTAAGTGCAAAAAGGCTATAGTGGCGGAGGTGTCGACACTCTCGTAAGGTTGCTAACAACCCCCCCCCCCCTCTCCTCTTTCGCAAGTTTGAACTCTGCGGGTATGACTGATTTCGCTTGTTGTTGAGTTTTTCACATTGGTACCAGCCACTTTGGTTTTCGACATGCTAGTACCCTTACACGTCCATGTAAATGCTCTAAGAATTCGTTCTTTAATCGTGTTCCCGCTGTAGTATTCAAGGCTGCCTCTACGTTCAACAAAAGTCGAGATCAGTGAGGACAGTTCTTCCGTTTTTTCTTCATCGGCAATAATGGTGGGCCTCTATTTCTTTTCAAAAATCCATTTTGCTGGCTGTCATAGCTTGGCAGATCTTTCAATTTGTTAGCGGCATCTAGGGCAGTACAGTTTATTGGGGTCGCTGGGCTTTCTGTTTGTCATCGTGTAAGCTCGCACAGGGCAGTCCTTTCGCATAATTATAGCCTGCGGGGGGTTTGTAGGACATTTCTTTCCTTAAATTATCGGTCTGCAAGAGGTCCATAGGGCACTTCCTTTTCAAAATCACCGGTCTGTAGGCGGTCCGTAGCAGTACTCGGTAAAGACAGATCTGTAAGCTTCTCAATTCTGTCTTTCATCAGTATCTGTCTGTAGGTGGCTTGTAAAGCAATAATTTCTCTAGACCCGAGAGCAGCCTATAGGGATCTCCTTCATCCAATCATCGGTCTGTACGCGGCGAGCAGGGCATTGCTCCTCAAAATATTAGTTTGTAAAGGCGTGAAATATCGTTCTGTAAGTAGCTCATAGTTTCTTTTCTCATACTCTTGGTTCGTAGGAGATACGAGGATAGGGTAAGGCTCTTGTTTCGAAATATTGGCCTCACCAGTGCGTCACCTCCGCTTCGCGGAGGTCCGCACTGGCTCTCTTATACGATTGCCTTTCTCATGTTCGCATAATGATGACTTTGAAACCCACCATGCGATGCTGAACATCACAAATGAAGTAAACAACTGTTCATTCTTTAAGCATCTCCACGCAAGATCGGTAATTTTGAGAGAAAAAACTTGTCGCAAAGGAACACCTGCGAAATTAGATTACTGAATTTGTTTTGGCTTGGTAGTCGTCATAAGGATAATGGTCACTTTGAGCTAAATTTCCGTGCAGAAATCTTTCCAAGTCTGAAGGTAAAACCTTGCCAAATCGACTGTCTAAGCGATCACCACTTCTTGGCGCTGTTGTCGCAGAAAAGCAAACTTTTTGAGCATTTTCTGGGCTACAACTCATGAGGCGCAGAGGTACTTGTCAGGCAAATCATGACTTCGCAAAAAGTCGAATTGATGACCTAGTTTTGCGTGCCAAAAGCCACGTGGGCCCGTTTGACGCGCAGTTTTTGAAGGTCCCAAATATCGGAGCAGCTTGTGCTTTCGCACTTTTTACCTATATGCTGATAGGGTGCTATGACCAAAATTCCAGCTCAAGACCTTGCCTACAAAACGCTCTATGAATTTCGTGACAGACAGACATAAACACACACACAGACAGACAGACACGCACTTTATTATAAGTCATGATAGCAGTTCTTAGACCATTTCGTAAAAATATTAGTCTGAAGGTGCCTTCGGTCTGTGCAGCCTAAAGGGCAGTTATTTTTCGAAGTGACGTTCGTAAGCGGCCCATAGAGCAATTTTTTTCAAAATTGATTTGTGGGAAGTTGTAATCAATATTATGTAGCGGCACATACGGGAGTTCCTTCTAATAAATGATTATTAGTCTGCAGGCAACCCGTAGGGCAGTTTTTTTTTGAAAATCTCTTTACGCAGCCATACGACTACCTTGAGATATCCGTTTTCGGGAGGCCCGTATACCACAAACGGATATCTCAAGATGGTATTATCCCAAGATTTTGTTTATAGGGGTCATTCTTTCCTAGAATGCCACTCTGTAGGTGGCCGTAAGAAAGTCTCAAAATATTGCTCTGTACGGGCTTGCAAGGTAGTTTTCAAATGTCATTGGGTGACCCTCACCGTTTATAAATTTTTCTGATACATGTCGGTCTGTAGGCTGCTGTAAGGCGGCTTTTCTCTTGAAAAACCGATCAGTAGGGGAGAGGGATTGTAGGGCAAATTTCTTGTAAATCCTAGGCGGACCGTGGAGCTTTTCTTTCCCATGAAAACTCTGTAGGCAACACATAGGGCATAAGAAAACAGTGTTTATTTTCGATGCCAAATTTTTCCGAACTAGGGCAACACGAGTGTAAGGGTTTTGTAGAATACATCGTAGGGAAACTAGGGCAACACGAGTGTAAGGGTTTTGTAGAATACATCGTAGTGTTGAATTTTGACTGCTTTTGAGATGAACTCAATGAAGATTGAGTTCACCTCAAAAGCAGTCAAAAGATTGTTGGAAAAATCAGAAGTCCTCAATCTGTTTCATGTTGCCAGAGCTCACAAAATCATTGCGACAGGAGAACGCAAGAAACTTGTTATGGTTTCTGGGGAAATGTATTTTGTTTTAATGGTGATTTTCATTATGTGACAAATTCCTTGGAGGGTTTTTGAGGTTTTCTTTGTAAAAGACGTGGAGCGGACGAGCCTTTTATTTTTCGAATGAACCTCTATGAAGAGGGATTTGGTGAGGCGTGTATTCGGAAAGAGGTTGATTTTTTCCTCAAATTTTGTAAGGCTCCCGCCAAAGTGCCGAAGTTATGCCAGCGCTACGCCAGCATTTCGATCGATACACGTGTATTTCGTTGGGGCAGGCCTAGCTCAGCAGGTAGTTGTCCTCAACGAAATACACGTTTATCGACCGAAACGCTGGCGTAGCGCTGGCATAACTTCGGCATCTGGCGGGAGCTTAAGACTGTGTTAGGATTCTCAAATGCTGAATGAACGTGGTCCTTCATTTTTGCAGGACTCGCTTATGAAAGTGGATTATTATGAGTAGTTCTCAAAAAAGTATAAGTTGTAGAGATATTTGCAATCATAACTAGACGGCTAATAGTATTTGCCCCGGCCCACTTGTCAGCGACCCATAGGGTCGCTAGTTCTTTATAGATTCGAGCAAATTATGGGTCCGACCTCAACTGATTTATTGCCAAAATCGTTCTTGTACATAATCACAGGCCCTCAGCCGGCGGCGATAAAGGGCAGTTTCACTGAGCGGGCGGCGATACTGCAAAAGTGGCAGTGAGCGGGCGACGACATTGTAGGAATGGCGGAGAGCGGGCAGCGACGGGCTACCAGCGGGCAGCTATAATCTTCCATGAGTCAGAAAATAGCTGCAGAGCGCATTCATTCCTACAAAAGCAGCCAAAAGGCGACGATGAGGCAGCGACTCCGTTAAGCTGGCAGCGACCGTGAAACGATGGGGCTGCGAATACAAGATTTCTGTCAGCGGGCCGCATCAATGCTATGAGCAGGCAGCCTTAATTCATAACGCCGTATTGTGGCTGCCAACTGGAAGCCATATCGTTGCCCGCTCGAGACATTGTTGATCGCACCAGAAAAGTTAGATGTGCAGGCAAACGAGATTGGCAGCGTGGGCTCGCGTCATTTTTTCATTTCTTGTTGCGTAATCTTTGTTTTCATCTTTGCTTTTCTTTGTTTTCACTTTCGTTATCATTCAGTGCTTTATTTCAAGTACTACTCAGACATTCGTGGTTGAGTCGCGCGCCAAAAAAAGTTATGTCGCGACGGAATGACTGCGGGACTTAACCTAAACAGTCGCGAGAATTTCGGGACACCGGCATTGTGATCGGGAGATTGCTGCGGGAGACAGGTTATTCTCCCGCACTCACGCAGACCGGGAGAAAACCTGAGCTTTAACGCAAGACCCGGTAATGTTGCGAACTCAAATACGGCGCAACTTGCGCTCATCACTGTTCTCTTAGTTATTTCTTGAAATGCGTTTAATACCCACGTCTTCAAGTTTATATGCACTTAACCAAATAGATGTTTATTGAGAACTTCTGAGTGTGTATACATAAGTAAATTCAGATCTTCAAGTTATAGGGTTGCAAACAAATTAAAGAAGAGCACCATTATAAATGGAATAATAGCTAAGTGAATTCAGATCTTCAAGATATAGGGGTGCAAACAAATTAGTAATGGCTGAGTGACATTACATCTTCAAGTCATGGAAGTGTAAACAAATCAGGGCAAGAGCAACGTGAGTGAAATAGGAATATAAAAATGGAGATTCTTCTAATGAGATAGATGGTGATATGAGAACATATTTGAACAAAAAAGTAATATATAATGCTTGTGTGCGATGAAATCGCTTCAAAGTGCTTCGAGTTCATCTTTCTTCATCCCTGATCTGGACCGGGACCGGATCGGTGGCCTCGCAACTGTGCAGGTGCGTTTTTTCTGAAATAAGGATTTTTGAGGCTGATGTGCATAGACAGGATGTATATCTTACCGATGGGGGAACGAGTTCGTTTTTTTCGGGCTTACACAAGTAAGCGCGGAGGTCTTTCCTAAATAGTATATATATACATATATATTACATACAATACATATTATTATATATTATATATTGGAAGACCTAAAAATTGGAAGAAAATTGACCTAAAAAGGCCTAAAAACCTAAATTGAACTAAGACCTAAAAATTGGAAGATTTATTCCCGTAGATGAAGATACATTCCTCGCGAAAAACCCTCCAATCACTTCCACCACTCTCTCTTTCGATAAGACTAAGAGCTGATACTCGTCTTGTTTACGGTTTTAACCATACAAGTGTGAGCATCAGCTTTTAACTTGAAGTCTTCTCTAAGTCTCAAAAGAAGAAGTTCGTGAGTTTGAAAATGGTAGCGAACTCCTAGAAAAGGGAGACATACGAAATATTGAGAATATCATCTTGTATAGAAACATGCTCCTACCCACTGGTTATCAGGGCAGTAAAGCCTCTTCGGATAAGCAAAAGTTTAATCTAGAGTATCTAGAGCCACGCATTAACATCCCTTCTTGGAAGGGAACCAAACTTACGAAAGTTTCACATCCTATTTTCGTATGTTAACATATCAAAATTTCAAGAAAGAGTTTCGTCAGGAACTTTCAAAAACTTCAATCTCTACTACATTTATCAAAATAAGCATTTAAGAGATTTTCGAAGAAAACCATACCCCCCCCCACTAGCAAAACTTTCTATAGCCCCGCCCGAAAAAATCATAATGCTTGCGCAACCGAACCATGACAGCAATTTAGAATCAATGTAATAAAAGTCTAATGAGCTTGGAGTCAGTGTAATATTCTGTCAAGCTGCTACGACGATGACCAATTCTATGGAAAATATGTACTAACCAGACATGTAGAATTCTTCGATCGAAGGAAGTGCTGTTCGTGAATAAATTCCGGGCATGAATAATGGGTTTAAGAACACGTATTCTTCGGAAGAAAATGGAATGATGTTCTTATCAGAGATCTTGCACTTAAAAGGCGGATCTGGTATTGTCTGCAAACATTGAGCACAGTAAGGCCGAATATATGCGACAATCAAATTACCCTCATTTCCTCTTTGAGATCATCATCAATATCTGTGTCGCTGTCTAACTGAATTTCCTCTTTACTCGTTACATCGTTATCGTTAGCAATGGGCTGAAAACAAGAGTTTACCATACAGTGATGTGCGCATGTTCGTTGCTTCGATACTGAAAGAGCCAGAGGCTGTTTAGGCAAAACAGAAACTTGTGATACTCATTAGAATTCATATAAAGTACACCCGACTTTTTGCCATGATAACTCATTCCACTCGAAGCATTCAAAAATTGTTAGCATGCACAATTCAGCAGATAGAAATTTCGTCTTTTGAGCTGGCGTTGAAGGCAGTGGTTCGGCAAGTTGGACTCCTGTCGGAATTTGATAATGCTAGGTAGTAGCCCCCTCCATTTCCTGCGCTATATGGAAAAGGTGGTTGAATAGTCCACCACCCTGCCCGCTTCAATTAAGTGGGAGTCACTGGTGCACTTTTGAGGCGCCTTTTTAGGACTGTGCGCAAAAATTGAAGGATGGGGTTGGGCTATGGTGCACTTGGGGAGCACTACCCAACACTAATCAAACGGGTGTCCTTTTTGTCGAGTCACTGCCTTCAAGCATTTGGATCCAAAAACTCAAAGAGAACTTCTAAAAAATAGAACGATAGTACCTTCTGTTGATCCACCGCAAGAGTGTCGACCTTTTCATTGCTGGGCAAGTTGCTAGGCAAGAGATCGGGTAAAACAGCCCCTCTAGAGTCTTCGCCTTTTGTGTCATTCTAAGAAAACTCTGAGCACCACATGAAAAAAGCGTCACAATGTTTGAAAGCGTCTGATAACTCGAAGACAAAACCGAATGGGGAAAACATAACAGATAACGCCAACCCACCCATTTGTTTCCTTTGGAATAGGGGTAGGTGCCTCGATTTTTAGTGGCAGATGATAGGCTCATTCACTGCTTCACATGTAGTTGATTGCGCAGCCTTCGTCAGCGACAGAAATACGAAGAAAGATGTGTGAGTGAAGGTAAATCCTATTTAAACTAACTGCATCATTCTTCAATATTGCCACTCTTCTCTTAGGTATAATAACAGTCAAAATTTCGATCTCATGTATTACATGAGGAGCAGCTGACGGATCCTAAAAAAGGGGAAAATTTAAGCTGTATATCTTTTCGCTTATACAGAATTATTACCGTTATGTCCTCAGAAGGTTGTGGCCGCTTTCTGAGTGATACCTTAGCCACATTTGGCTTTTGAAAACACTGTATTATAGATCCCAACTGGTCATCACTTGGTACAGTAGTCAAAACCAGGCGTAAAGGGTTTGCGTAGCTGCTGTAACTGCACAAACTTCGCTAAAAATGTCTTGCTGAGTTTATACTTCAGCAGTCATGGAATGCAATCCCTCCACGCCTGGTTTGACTACTGTACCAAGTCGATGACCAGTTGGGATCTATAATACAGTTCTGAAAACAGCATAAATCGCACTGAATATGTACTTGTAGATAAAAACAAACCTGAAAATCCCTTCCGACAACAATGCCAAGATCTTTTTCCTCTGTTTTCTTCATATTTTTACGGAGTGACGAGCATGAGCGGTTATTTGCTAACTCGTATAGGGGCCTGCAAGATCGCGAGAGTCGGACGCGCGTACGGCCTTTGCGCCGCGCACGCCTGATATCGCTGGGTCGTAGTCGATTAAGGCTAGATAGGTAAGTTTTTTTGTTTTTCTTTACATTTCACGCCTTCTTTTCTTTTCAGACGGTGAGCACATGTTGGTGCGGATGAGTTTAAGATCTGAATTAAGGTGAGGTGCAGGATTATGCTCAATACGGACTCAATATTGCAGACCTTCCATGCCTGCTGGTTGAGATGTTGGATTTTCTGTCCTGGCTGCCCTGTTACAGCAAACTGTTCTATTTCTACCGTCTATTCTACCTTATCTTGCATATTGCTTGTGATGATGATGATGATGATGACAATGATTATGATTGTGATGACGCGCATGATGCAAGATGAGGTAGAACAGACGTTGCAAATAAAACGGAGTTTCGTAACCGGGCAGGCAGGACGAAAAATCGAACATAATCGGACAGCCAGAACAGAAAACTCAACATTCTTCAAAGCAGGGATGAAAAGTCCACAATATTGGCCCGTATTGAGCATAACCCTGCACCTCACCTTAATCTAGATCTTAAACTCCTCTGCACCAACATATGTTCGCCGCCTGAAAAGAAAAGAAGGCGAGAAATGAGAAGAAAAACAAAAAAATCTCACCTATCCAGCCTAAATCGAGTACGACCCAGTGACATACGACGTGCGCGGCGCAATGGCCGTACGCACGTCCGACTCTCGCGATCCTGCAGGCCCCTATACACAATCGGCTTGTGCGTGGACTTTGGACTGCGTGGACTGGCTGGAAAGGTACAAAAAAATGTAAGTTATGTTCCCGTTGGAGTTGCCAGAAAGTTAAGCTGGAGTTGCCAGAAACATGACTGGAAGGAAAGAAAGAGAAGGAAAGCGCAAGAAAATGAAAAAATTTCAAGCTGCGCTAATTGAATTTAGACGCTCAGCGCGAAGCATGTGTGATTACAGACAAGAGCATTTTTGACGACTAGTCACGACCGAGACCATTTTCAGGAGTCGCGACGGGTGTCACGAATTTCTCCCGCCTCGTTTTTAGTTTCGGGATTAGCCCGAACGTCGCAACAAAAGCGCGTATGCCGCAGCAGTACTCATTTTTTCGCGACACCCCGTTTTGTGGGCGGATCTCCTGCGCGTTTTAACCACGAATGTCTGAGTAGTGAACCAGTACCTAATAGGCGCTATTTGGAAGAGCGTTTGCTTCGGGACTCGTCGTGGTTCCCCGCTATTTGAAGATTTTTGAATTGAGCTAACGATTCTTTATATATCAGATTTCTTTTGTTCTCTATGTTTGACTTCTATCCAACCGGAAGAAGTGCTTAATGAAAGCCCCGTTTGTTTTTGAATCAAAACATCCACTGCACAATGTAATAAAAACTCTTTTTCAAACTCTCTCGAAAACCGTAAAAAACCATCTATTCACTCATTTTACGAATGTAAACACAAAAGTGCCTTTCTCTCAACATTTTCGCCGCTGTCACATCATTCGACTACAAGCGTGCTCTCTTTGCGCTCAAAGAACTGCATCATTGCGTTTCGCATGCGTCCATTTTCGAAATGCTTATTGATTAGAGGGCGTCGCTATGCTTTGCTACTTCAATCCTGTGTTTGTAATTTTTTCGAGAAAAAACTCAGCCTCAGCGGATTACACGCGAAAACATGACCTTTTACGCAACGAACGACCATCACGGCTCACTCCACGCAGCGTGTTGTACGCAAAGTTCATTGAGTGAGGAAGGATTGATTTGAGGTTTAGTCTGAGTGCCACACACAGCGTAAGTTGTTTTCGTCGCACGTGTTTCTACCGATCGGCCTTTTTAAAAAGTAAAATTCTCATTTCGACAAGTGCATTCATCGAAACACAGTGCGCACCTTTTCAATGATGTACCGTCGGTTCATTTCATATGATCATGTGTGCCATTGCACACACCGTCCATCTTTGGCGTACCCATCCTGGATTCTTGGAGGACGCAACCCTTCCGTTAAGCGATTCTGATGTTTTCTCGCTGTTTTCTTTTCTTTTTAGGTACTATTTATCTCTAAATGATGTAAGCGATAGCAATTGCTCACTCTCTCGCGTTTTTGCGATCGCAAATCCGAGATGGGGACGCCAGAGATGGACGGTGTGTGCGGGTGCACACATGATCATATGAAATGAATCGACTGTACTTGTACAGTGAGCACATAAAAGGTTTACAGTTTTACGGAAAATTGTTTGGCACGCAGTCGTTCGTCAACGCAGCTATCGTCGATTCGTTGACCGTACGGACTGCTGAAGCGCTGCGGACCACATGCGGCGCGGTTAACATGTTGCGAGAGCACGAACAGTGGCGATCTTGTATTGGAGCAAGCGTTTTACCTCGCGGCGCGTGCTCCGCGGTTATGTCCAGTCCGCACAGTCAACGAATTGACGATAGTTATTTACAGCTGTGATGTGGAACTAGTTTCTGTCTCTTTTTATCGTCAAGGCTTGATAAAGTCTCCCTACATCCTGGAAATGAAATTAGGGCTTTTCATACTTCCACTAATTGCTGTACCATATTTGTCTTGCGTTTCTCTCTGTCTAATGTCTGTCTTTGATGTATATCTATATATTTCCAACTACTCTCTCTTTTGCAGGCATTTCATGATGTTTGTAATCGTAGTCAATTACAGCTTCTCTTAGACGCATTCAGCATTTGTCATGTATGAAGCATCTTTCATGAAGTTACTTCCTCCTTGGTGAAATGCAACAAAGCGTAGGCTTAGTATATGCATTGATTGAGTTCGGCAGGTGCGATGAGCTCATGATTCGGTAATTGCTTTGAAGGTGTCGTGACTAGCCAAGTCCTTTTAGCTGGGTAGAGATCATTGTTTACTGTTGAACAAGAGTAAGTTTGTTGCATTTCACCAGAGTCTATCTCTTGTACAAACAAGCTGCTAAGATGCTGAAACGTGACCTTATCTCCGTAATGTTCTCTTCTAGTCATCCTTTAGGAGCAACTGAACATGGTCACGAATCAACGCGAGACGCTGCAGTCACCGACGAAGACGCACACAATTCCAGAGGAAGTGTTGCACAACATAAGGAAAATGGGTTTGGATCAGAACTGACAGTTGCCTGAACGATACTCAGGCGCGAATGGATTGTTGATTCGCATGAGAAACCCATGCATTGCGCGCTAACACTGGCAGTTCCTCACTTATGTTTGTGAATATATTTATCGCGGTAGAATGTGTATTGCTTTGTCGCCGCTCCCCATATGGATCGTTTTATCAATGTTTGTACCCTCAAGGTCTATTATCAGCATATTTTCTGTTCTAAAGAACGTAAATCTATGCGTGTGTATCACTGCGTACTTGCGTACTCATCCACTTAACTGTTACTTGCCATTTCATTAGTTATAACCTTTATTCAGAGTTTACAAACGTGGCCGTACATAGTTGTAGTATATGATCTAAGCTAACCTTTAAGCTTTTGGGCTACCGACACATTCTATCTTTAAAGAAAGCGGGAAGCGGCAGTGAGGCGATAAGGAGCGGAGCTTTTGATGGGTTTTCGCGGTGCTTTGTGGCTGCCGGCTGAATATCTTGTCTGTGTAGCTTCTTGTTATGCTTGGACTACAACGTTGTAACTTCAATTAATTCATTATAACGATGGCAAGTAACAATGAAGAACATAACCATCTGTGGCCATATCTATTTCTCCATGTGGTCATATCTCCAGATGGTTATGTTCTTCATTGTTACTTGTCATCGTTATAATGAATTAATTGAAGTTACAACGTTGTAGTCCAAGCATAACAAGAAGCTACACAGACAAGATTTTCAGCCGGCGGCCACAAAGCCACCGCGAAAACCCACCAAAAGCGCTGTAGCCTTATCGCCTCACTGCCGCTTCCCGCTGAGAACTGTAGAAGCGAGCGGGCTACAAATATGGCAATGAGCGGGAGGCTAAAGCTGGCAGCGGGCGGACTGCTATGAGGGCTTCAGCGGGAAGCGAAAGTGGCCGCGATGAGGCCACCGCGCTTTTGGTGGGTTTTCGCGGTGGCTTTGTGGCCGCCGGCTGAGAGCCTGTGATTGTCTGAGTAGAGATAATCATTCAATGTGAAAGGAGGGGAATCAACATTTTCAATTGCAGAAACAGTTAAGAGTGCTGGCCAATAAAATTTTTTCGCATATAACATTGTCTTCTCATCTTTCATAATTTAGAATGATGAGAACAAAATGTTAATATTAATATTACTAATAATATTAACATATATACACCGATACAGATTGAGCATCTTTTTGAGCGTGCATAGTTCTTACTCACAAGGAAAAGTTTGCAAAAGGAGAACAGAGACCATGGCTAAGTGTAGCCATCTTAAAGTTGAATTGATAACTACTCAGACAATCACAGGCTCTCAGCCGGCATCCACAAAGCCACCGCGAAAACCACCAAAAGCGCGGTGGCCATCTGCCTTGGTTTTAACAATGACGCTGCATGCCTTCGTAGTAAAATTTGGAGGGCAACTATTTTTAAGATTTGTTCACAAGAAAATGGCCTTACAAATAAGATAGTAACAATCACATCGGAGAGGAAGGACGAGCGGTTGATTGAAAGGATCGTTTAGCTAGGCCGGTATACAAGCGACACTCATATGATTCATTTATGAGGCATTCAAGTTAACTTTGCCTAGTGCCAATGGCGGGCCAAGCACTCCGCCGACTTCTTAAAAACGCTTCCCAACTTTTGCAGACCCACCACGCCCCCCTCCCCCTCCCCGAAGAATTTCTTTGCACTGCCGATTTGTAGTTTTCGAGAATTTTGAAAGATTATGCACATTTTGTAGCTTATGTAGGTGACTGTCAAACAATCCTCGGCGTATGGGCTCCCTCCCTCCCCCCCCCTCGCCTTTTCTCCAACACTGCCTTGCCGTAGCCTTTCCGGGTGAACCGGTGAAAATCAGAAAGAAAAAAAGCAGACAAAAACAAAAGAT